AAATGTCAACATTGTTGGTAACTGTCAACATTGTTGGTAACTGTCAACATTGTTGGTAACTGTCAACATTGCTGGTAACTGTCAACATTGCTGGTAACTGTCAACATAGTTTGTAACTGTCAACATAGTTTGTAACTGTCAACATAGTAACTGTCAACATTGGTGGTAACTGTCAACATTGTTGGTAACTGTCAACATTGTTGGTAACTGTTAACATTGCTGGTAACTGTCAACATAGTTTGTAACTGTCAGCATTGCTGGTAACTGTCAATATAGTTTGTAATTGTCAACATAGTTTGTAACTGTCAACATTGCTGGTAACTGTCAACATTGTTGGTAACTGTCAACATTATTGGTAACTGTCAACATTGTTGGTAACTCTCAACATTCCTGTTAGCTGTCAACATTGTTGGTAACTGTCAACATTGCTGGTAACTGTCAACATTGCTGGTAACTGTCAACATTGTTGGTAAATGTCAACATTGCTGGTAACTGTCAACATTGCTGGTAACTGTCAACATTGTTGGTAAATGTCAACATTGGTTGTCAACAATTTGACTATAGGTAATTATCAGCATCTTTGTTATTTGTTAGTTGATATATGTTAACTCAAAATGTTTATATTTGTTGTAATCCAATGTGTTGATTGTTGTGTAACTCAGTATATTGCTTTTTTCTTGTGTGTCTCTGAAAATCAAAATTGGCAAGAGTTAGGATGTAGATGTTAATTTGTTGATGAAGTGTTTTTTTATTGAATGAGTATAATGGTTTATTCAATGTATATAGAGTATAAATTGAATTGTAAATGACAAGTGTATTGCCCCTAACAACGCTGTTTTAGAACATTTCTCATGTTTAATGCTAACTTTGTGTTCAAATTTTAACTTTGTTTTTATCCAAAGGAACTGTGGCTGAGCTTGTTGAATGCAAGATAAAGCAATTTTAAAAACATCTATGTAACCTTGTGGTACTGTACTGTCTTAGAATAGTGATATAAAAAGTTGTAGGTACTCGCTATGTTACAATTTAGAGTGTGTTTCGTTTTGCTCAGTTTTAAATTGCTGATTATTTCAGGCATTCCCAGTTTTTTTTGCGATTCGTGAGCTTCTCTAGCTTTCTAAGAAATGTCAGGTATCCAAAGTTTTATTGCAGTAAGAGAGCATCCCTAGCTTCCTCTGAAATGTTTACGTATCTGTCGTGTCAATGATAAGTTAGCACCCCTATTTTCCCCTAAAATGCAAGTCAGTACAGTGTCACCTGAATGAATCAATTATGTTCTGTGTATAAGTTTGTAGGTACATTTATTGCTCTATGTCTACAATAGAGGTGTATATATTTATAATGTCTGGTGCTAGCTTTAATGTTTATGTACAACAACAATTAATTTTACTTGTGTTATATTTATCAGTGCAATTATTTAAATGAGTTTATGAGG